AAAAAAAGACTAGAAAGATTCTGAGTTCATCACTTAAGTTCCTCCAAATTCAACTACATTTTTACATACCACACTCAAAAATATTACACACACACCCCACTCCCTCCAATTGTCTGCTGAAAAGGCCTAGAAATAATGACCAATCCAGTAGCAATGAGCACCCCCTCTCATCACCCAGATTATGTCTCTTCAAATGCTGTTTCCCACTAACAGGAACCATGTTCCCTTGGACAAACGGCTGATGATTCCTGCTGAAGCAGGAAATGTATAAGAATAACCTGGAATATCTCATCATACCTGATACTAAAGAAGCTACGAAAAATTACTAGTCATGTCAAAGGAAGGAACTGAAGAGCCAATTTGACTTACGTATGGTAAGCTAAAGACAGTACTGAGTATTGCTAAGAGCTTAAAAAAATCAGATACTTTTAAAAGCATGAGTACATAATGATGATAAAAAAAAAAACCTGTCACCTGTTAAGGTTGCTAAAGAAACAACTCATTATTTTGAAAACTAATAAAGGGTAAGATACATTTTTCCTTTCCTATTTTAATTTATACTCCACACCAAATAGTATATGAAGTATTCCAATAAAAGAAAAAAAATTAGAGTACCACCATTTTTCAGTCCCTAATGAATTAACACATCCATTTTCAATTTATAAGAGTTAAAAAAAAATCATTACACTAGCTAAATTCAGGCTTCCCAAAAGATCTAGTATTGTATTAGCAGCAGTGGGATTTTGCATGTCAATATTTTGATGAACACATTTATTTCAGTCCTTTGGAGGCAATTTCTGCCCCATTATGTTTAAAATTTCAAACCTGATAGCAATATTATTTTGGAATTCAGAGTAGATGGTTTTCTCACACTTCACTCCTCCAGATATCTAAAGAGATTCAATAAAGTGATCATGTGTAGAAAAACAGTATGAATCTATTAGCTCTTTTCTTTCTTTAAAAGATTTTATTTATTTATTTCATTCATTCATTTATTCATTCATTCATTCATTCATTCATGAGAGACACAGAAGGAGAGAGAGGCAGAGACACAGGCAGAGGGAGAAGCAGGCTCCATGCAGAGAGCCGGACGTGGGACTCCACGTCTTCAGGATCAGGCCCCAGGCTGAAGGCGGCGCTAAACCGCTAGGCCACCAGAGCTGCCCTCTATTAGCTCTTAATATAGCTCTTAATATTTCCAAACACATATACTCAAAAAGTTCCAAAATGTGATAAGGCAACAGGGTAGATAATTCTAAGTATTTCCCTCAAATGCCATCAGAAAAAGCAGGGTTTCCATTCACTTTCCCTCTCCTATACTGGGAAGACCTCTTTGGAATCAGAGAGAGATCCAACCCTGCCTCTTACGAGTAACTGAGAGACCCAGATCAAGTTCTTTGACTAAGAAACCAGAACACCCCCACTGGAAGGTCTGTGGGGGATTACACAAAATTATGAGTATATACAACTCTCAAAGCAGTACCTGACATATAGTGAACATCAGCTAAACAACCAAAGCGGGGGTAATTATTACTTTGGAATTTTAAATTAATGCAACCATCTAAAAGCCCCATGTAAAGAGGCAATAAAGTGTTAGAGAAGGAAACACTCATCCCCCAAAACTCTAAAAACCAAAATACAACTCCTCAGGTTAGCTCCCTCCAAGAAATATAAAGGGTACACTAAAGTCAACCAATGCAGTCCTTACCCAAAGAGCTGAAAATACCAGCTGAATCTTGCTGAGCTAGAATCGGGCAACTTGGCTCTGCCCTGTAAAAAACGTTGAATGGTTCTTCACTGTCTACTAACAAAAAGGCTATTTACAATGACATTCAAGTCCTTCCTCAGATCTGACACCAACGCACCTCTCCAGCCCTCCACATGGCCTCCTTTAAGCCACTTCCTGACACCCACCTTGTCCTTTCACGGCTCTTGGCCTCTCCTCCCCAACCCTGGAATGATATCTGCTACTTCCATCCTTCACACAGTATCTTTGGGTCTTTAACTCTTTGGACCTTAAATTCCTTACCACCAAAAAGGAACATACTATTCACTTACAGCAGTAATCTAACAGAAAACTTTATCCGTAGTAAGGATACAACAAAGTCTGAAGTTTACTCATTTATAGCTCATTTAAGTAATTTCTACACCCAATGTGGGGCTCCACTCACAACCCTGAGATCAAGAGCCACATGCTCTACCAACTGAGTCAACCAAGCGCCCCATCTAATGTCTTGGATGGTAAGATCCTAACTTACATTTACCCATACTTCCATCTTATCTTTATTTTTACTGGCATAAAGTTAAGAATAGATAGTTGACATAATGGATTCGGTCACTGGCCTGTGACCACTGTGACAGGGATGGAATGAGAAACAGGCTTCGTGATTCCCTATCCAAGTTCTTTTCAATGGATAGCCATGCTTTCAAGATTCAAATTTATTCCACACTGGAAGATAAAATGTAATGTCAATTTTGATTCTTGCTGAAATTCTGGTACAAATACCACAAGATAGTGACCTATTAGAAATCCTTACAAAACTACTAAAAATACCAAGTACTGAACTGGGAAAACTTACACATTAAAACAAAGGCAGCAACACTTGACTCACCCCACTTTCCATAATTATTCTTCTGACTGCTTTTAGATTCCTCTCCCCCTCCCTTAGGCGTCTCTTATCCTAATAGCCTGCCTAATCATTGCCAACTATGTAATGATCCATGCAGAAAGATAGCTTTAATTGTTACACTATTTGTCCTTTAAGTATTTGAATATGGCTCTGAAAGCTTAACTTAGGAAGTGAATGAACCATACCTATCAATGCAGCTTTTTTTCTCTAAAGTAACTGATTAACTAGCCACCCCCCCCCCCATATTGGTTCTCAAAGGACTCTTACTACTCAGCAAACATGTTAAAATGTTGGCTTTAGATCAAATCTTAAAACTGAGGGATGCCTGGGTGGCTCAGCGGTTGAGGTTGAGCGTATGCCTATGGCTGGGGGTGTGATCCCGGGGTCCCAGGATCAAGTCCCACATTGAGCTTCCTACATGGAGCCTGCTTCTCCCTCTGCCTCCCTCTCTGTATCTCTCATGAATAAATAAATAAAATCTTTTAAAAAATCTTAAATCTGAGGCACCAAATTTCATCTAATCCAGCGCTACACACACACACACACACACACACACCCCTGGAAATGAAGTTTGGAAGAGAAAAGTTAACTGTCTAGGAGTTTACACAGTATTGAAAATCCAGGGCTTCCTGACTCCCAAAGCAGTGCTAAATTTAACACATATTATACAATGTTTTTAATCTTTCAAAGAAAATATTACCATTTTCAAATAGACATCAGAAGATATAATGACCTTTATATTTTTGTCAGTCATGTGGCAAAAGCTAGGATTAAAAGTCGGTCCTTTTTTATTCTTAGAGACCTTTTTCCTTCTATATAATCTTACTGAACAGTGGAAAAGTTCCAAAAATAAAAGTTTGAAGTAAAATATAGTTACACAAATTATATAGAAAACATCAGATTTTTAAATAAGTGGTAATGTATCACCACCACAGGAAACACTAAATTCAAGTCAGTGACCTAAGGGTCAAGTGATCCAAAACCCATTAGCCATTACCAATTCCCCAAGCTGGCCAGTGCACAGAGAGTTGAATTCCCTGTCCAATGACGATATTTCAAGGGTAAGTAAACTTCTTTTTTTATTTTTTAAGAATTTATTTATTTATTCATGAGAGACATAGAAAGGCAGAGACACAGGCAGAGGGAGAACCAGGCAGGCTCCATGCTGGGAGCCCGATGTGGGACTTGATTCCGGGTCTCCAGGATCACGCCCTGGGCTGAAGGCGGCGCTAAACCGCTGAGCCACCCCGGCTGCCCAAGGGTAAACTTTTTAATTAAAAAATGCAATGAATGTGGAATAACCAAATGTTTGGAAAATTTGTAAGAGATTTTCATTAGTTTGCACAGTTATTTTGGGGAGACAACAAATAACTCTTGCACGAATCACTACCGTGAACCACACAACTTCAGTTACCCAAATATGTACTGTATTCCAAAAGCAACTCCCTCTGGGAAAAGTGTCATAAATATGCTGTTCTGGAATGTATACGAAATCTAGCAACCACTTTTAAAGTTTCATTCCGCCAAAGATCCGCCCTACAAGATCTAAGTATCTCTAAGAATCAAACTAACGGGCTTCTTCTCCATCAGTCTTTCCCACTTAAAGATCATGTGACTAGTATCACCACCAGTGAATCACCCAATTAAAAAAAAAAAAAAGCCCACACATCACAATTGTGCTCGAAGAGACATCTTACAATTAATGCTGTAAGAAACAGGGTACTTTTAGGCCTTAACTGAGAATTTACTCTTGCACGTTGTTTCCAAGGTACAATTTTAACCATCGAGAAGTTACTAGAACATCGCGGGCATCCCTTCCCTTTAGAGGTTGACTAGCTAGAGGGGACCTCTGCCACATCAAAACTGCCAGGTGACGGCCCCCCAGAACGACTGCAAAGGAAGCGTACGGAACCTATGGAAAGATTTCCTCCTGCCCGGAGGAGTCGGCTGTACCAAGGAAACAAGATAGGAATGCGACAGTTTAAAACAGAAAGGAAAAAAAAAAAAAAAAAGCAACCCCATACAAAAAGCCATCCCAGAACGGGATCCTCTGGGAGAGAAAGGGCTCATTCTTCCTCCCCGGCGCCGGAAACCCGAGAAGCGAATTTGGGGAAAACGTCCCCGGTAACCTCGAGGAGGCAAGACTCGGACTGCTACGCGGAGGTTCCCGGCCCTGCAGGGGTGTGACCCAGCGGCCCAACGGGTGCTGACAAACTTCGGGGACACCCGCCTCCCCCGCTCCAAGGACGGAGCCTGCTCCGGTGACCGCGGCCCGGACGGGCGAGGCAGCGCGGGCCGCTCACGCTCCGGCCACGGCCCGGGCGGACTCGCCCAGGCGGCTACGGCGGGGGCGGGGCCGGGCCGGCTCACCTTTGAAGAAGCGCAGCGCCAGGCCGTACAGCTCCTCCAGGCCGAAGCCCCAGCGCTGCTCCAGCCGCCGCGCCTCCTCCGCCGCGCCCCCGGCCGCCGCCTCCCCGGGCGCCGGCTGCTCCCCCGCGGCGCCTGGCCCCCGGCCCGCCCCGGGCGGCGAGGGCGGCGGCAGCGGCGGCGGCAGCAGCGGGGCGCCCTCCGCGCCGGGCCGCTCCTCTGGGTCGGGGCTCAGCGTGAGGCCGTCGACGGAGACCTCAAGTCGCTCGGCGTTCAGCACCGCCGCCATCTCCGGCTTCTGCGCCTCCTCGGCGGGGACAGGCGGCGGCCACGTATCGACTTCCTGCTGACCTCTGACCTCCACTTACCGACGCCGGAACTTCCGCCGCTGAAGAGGATCTCCGGCTTCGAGAGAGGGGCTGAGGCCCGCGCCCCGCCCCTCCGCGACCCCTACCCCCGCGGGCCCCGCCCCGCCCGGCCCTGGCCCCGCCCCTCCAGCCCGCGTCCCCCCGCGAGCGTCGTCCCCCTCTCTTCCCTTCCCCCGTGACCCGCCAGCGGCGGTCGGGGCGGGACCCGCGGGGCTGGGGGAGGGTCGCGGAGGGGCGGGGCCCGCGGGGCGGGGGGGGTGTGGGTGGCGGAGGGCGTGGCCTGCGGGGCGGGAGGAGGGTCGAGGAGGGGCGGAGCCCGCGGGGCTCCGGGAGACGGGCGCGGAGGGCGGGGCCCGCGGGACTGGGGAAGGGTCGCGGAGGGCGGGGCCCGCGGGACTGGGGAAGGGTCGCGGAGGGCGGGGCCCGCGGGGCTGGGGAAGGGTCGCGGAGGGCGGGGCCCGCGGGACTGGGGAAGGGTCGCGGAGGGCGGGGCCCGCGGGACTGGGGAAGGGTCGCGGAGGGCGGGGCCCGCGGGGCTGGGGAAGGGTCGCGGAGGGCGGGACCCGCGGGGCTCGGGGGAGGGTCGCGGAGGGTTGGGGCGCGCGGGGCTCGGGGAGGGTCGCGGAGGGTTGGGGCGCGCGTGGCTGGGGAGGGTCGCGGAGGGGCGGGGCGCGCGTGGCTGGGGGAGGGTCGCGGAGGGCGGGGCGCGCGGGGCTCGGGGGAGGGTCGCGGAGGGGCGGGGCGCGCGGGGCTGGGGAGGGTCGCGGAGGGTTGGGGCGCGCGGGGCTGGGGAGAGTCGCGGAGGGCGGGACCCGCGGGGCTCGGGGGAGGGTCGCGGAGGGTTGGGGCGCGCGGGGCTGGGGAGGGTCGCGGAGGGCGGGACCCGCGGGGCGGGGGGAGGGTCGCGGGGAGGAGGGTCGCGGAGGGGTGGGCGGTGCCGGGCTCGGGGAGGGTCGCGGAGGAGCGGGTGCGCGGGGCTGGGGAGGGTCGCAGAGGGCGGGACCCGCGGGGATCGGGGGAGGGGCGCGGAGGGGCGGGGCGCGCGGGGCTCGGGAGGGTCGCGGAGGGGAGGGGGCGCGCGGAGCTGGGGGAGGGTCGCGGAGGGGCGGGGCGCGCGGGGCTCGAGGAGGGTCGCGGAGGGGCGGGGCGCGCGGGGCTGGGGGAGAGTCGCGGAGCGCGGGACCCCCGGGGCGGGGGAGGGTCGCGGAGGGGAGGGGCGCGCGGGGCTGGGGCGGGTCGCGGAGGGGAGGGGCGCGCGGGGCTGGGGCGGGTCGCGGAGGGCGGGATCCGCGGGACTGGGGGAGGGTCGCGGAGGGCGGGGCCCGCGGGGCTCGGGGGAGGGTCGCGGGGGTGCGGGATCCGCGGGGCTGGGGCGGGTCGCGGAGGGCGGGATCCGCGGGACTGGGGGAGGGTCGCGGAGGGCGGGGCCCGCGGGGCTCGGGGGAGGGTCGCGGGGGTGCGGGGCGCGCGGGGCTTGGGGAGGGTCGGAGAGGGCGGGACCCGCGGGGCGGGGGGAGGATCGCGGAGGGGCGGGGGGCGCGGGGCTCGAGGGAGGGTCGCGGAGGGCGGGATCCGCGGGACTGGGGGAGGGTCGCGGAGGGGCGGGGGGCGCTGGGCGGAGGGAGGGTCGCGGAGGGGCGGGGCGCGGGCGGGGGGAGGTCGCAGGGGCGGGGCTGGGGGAGGGTCGCAGAGGGGCGGGGCTGGGGGGAGGGTCTCGGAGGGCGGGGTCCGCGGAGGGTCGCAGAGGGGCGGCCGAGGTGACGCTGCAGGCCAAGTCTCTTCCCGTGCGTGGGGTCGCGGACTTGCCTTGGTCTTCGCTGCAAGGTTGAGGAAGTGCTGGGCCAATGACTTTTTCAAGAGGAAACTGAGGCTGTTTTAAATCGGCAGACCCTGGTTTGGGGGAACCATACAATTTGTGGGACCCCCATTAAGATAAACCCCCCCAAGGGCACCTGAATGGCTTAGAGTTGACTCCTCTTAGCTTGGGTCTTGGTCTCAGGGTCCCATGTTCAAGCCCCGCGTTGAAGCTTACTTAGAAAAAGACCCCAAATTACGTGCGTAAATATACGTAGAATGAGAAATCGCAAATGACACTTTGAAAAGTTAAAAAAAAAGTTTAAAAAAACCACAAGTATCACACACACAACCATAAAGCATTTATTAACTTCCTGACACTCCTACAGGGTGCCCCAAAGTCCAGAGACAATTATCCTATTTTTTTAGAAGATTGAAAATGCCCTTGACAGCATTACATATATTTTACCTGTCTAGGTAAATGGGCACCATTTATGATCATTTTTTCCACGCTTTTTGGCTGCATATATTTTTTTTTAGATTTTATTTATTCATGAGAGACACAGGGAGAGAGGCATAGACACAGGCAGAGGGAGAAGCAGGCTCCATGCAGGGAACCGGATGCAGGACCCTATCCCGGACTGGGGATCACACCCTGAGCCAAAGGCAGACCAACCGCTGAGCCACCCAGGCGTCCTGGCTGCATACTTTTTTTTTTAAAGATTTTATTTATTTATTCATAGACACAGAGAGAGAGAGAGAGGCAGAGACACAGGCAGAGGGAGAAGCAGGCTCCATGCAGGGAGCCCGACGTGTGACTCCATCCTGGGTCTCCAGGATCACACCCTGAGCTGAAGGCGACGCTAAACCGCTGAGCTACTAGGGGGCTGTCCCTGGCTGCATACTTCTAATCACCTTTTCCTATGACATTTTGTAATATTTACTATAAAGAAAATAGGTCAATCTTTTCAACATGGTGCTCAAAGATTTTTTATTGTTTATGCCTCAGCTTCATAACTCTTGAATGTTCTTAGTGTATATCTTTTAAAGATTATTGTCAAATTTGGGAAAATCTTTATCAGGTTGGTTTCACATCTGAGCTATAGTATTTTAGGGCTGTTTTGCTGCTTCAGTGGCAATTTCATGTAGTTTTTAGTGGATCCCAGGGGTTTTCAGAACAATTTGCTCCGGTAAGACAGGTTCTGATCCATTAAGATCAATAATAAAATATGTGACTTCACCTACAGACCGACTCACTGAAGTACAAGTTTGTGTCCCATAAACGCAAGAATTCTAATGTGTTCCATTTTGCGTGATTTGCATACAGTCATAAGCATAGTGCATTTACAATTGCATATATGACATTATTAGTGGATTCCTGATGAATGAGAACCTCCATTTTAGGTTAAGCATTTTAGAGTAGGCATTGAGGCATTGATTCTTCCACTTAAAAGTTTTTACTCTCGAGCCGATTTAATCTCGGAAGGATTTTCTATGGACCAGTTTGTCTTCTTTCACATCTTGTTTCTCCTCCATTACCCCCATGTTTGCTCTGCTGGGCATCACAGAGCTCCTTTGCCCTCTGGCCCTGTACCTTTGTGATATAGTGCTGGCTGAGCTGGTATAATGGGCAGTAGGTGTATTTCAGAAAGCCATTCCTACCCCCACAGAGAGCAATGATTTAACAATACTTGGAAATGACCGCAAATCACATAAATACACACCACTAAACCCCCATTAAATGTATCCCTTACTCGGGGTACCTGGGTATCATAGTTGGTTAAGCATCCTATTCTTGGTTTGGGCTTAGATCATCATCTCAGAGTTGTGGGATGCCTGTGTCAGGCTCTGCACTCAATAAAAAGTCTGCTTAAGACTCTCTTTTTCTCTCTCTCTCTCTCTCCCTCTGCTCCTCCCGCACTCTGTGCTCTTTTCCTTTCTCTCCAGAATAAATAAAGAAATCTTAAAAAAAAAAAAAAAAAAGTATCTCTTACTCCATCCTTGTCCCGGATCCCAAAAAAGCCCCTGGCCATGGGCAGCCCCAGTGGCACAGCAGTTTAGCGCCGCCTGCAGCCCGGGTTGTGATCCTGTAGACCAATTGAGTCCCATATCGGGCTCCCTGCATGGAGCCCGCTTCTCCCTCTGCCTGTGTCTCTATGAATAAATAAATAAATTATTTTTAAAAATTTTAAAAAAAAGAAACCCTAAAAAAAAAAAAGTAAAGCCCCTGGCCATTCCCGAAGCATCAAACACAAAGGAGTGACAGAAGGAAGTCAGAAAGCAGAGAGACAGTGGTCTTGAATACCTTAGTTTAGAAACTTCTACAGAAACTTTGGACCAAGTGAATATACTGTTGGAGATCCTCCAAAGGCCTTAGAAGGGCGTGTATGTAAGAGCTCTAAAACAGGGACGCCTGGGTGGCTCAGCAGTTGAGTGTCTGCCTTTGGCCCAGGGTGTGATCCCAGGATCCTGGATCAAGTCCCACATCGGGCTCCCCTGCTTCTCCCTCAGCCTGTGTCTCTGTGTCTCTCGTGAATAAAAAATAAAATCTTAAAAAAAACCCACAAACTTTCTTAAGCCCACTATTAGTTATAGGAGACTGTAATTCTGCTATGCTATGCCTACTGATTTGTTTCCGCTTAGCCTGGGTCTTTAGACTTAGTTTTAATTGCTTTAAAAATATGCATATTGGGCAGCTGGGGGGGGCAGCGGTTTAGCGCTGCCTTCAGGGGGGGGGCGTGATCCTGGAGAGGCAGCATCGAGTCCCACATCTGGCTCCCTGCATGGAGCCTGCTTCTCCCTCTGCCTGTGTCTCTGCCTCTCTCTCTCTCATGAATAAAGAATAAATAAATCTTTAAAAAATAAATAAAAATATGCATATTACATGGCTTAACCTCCAAGAAGTTATAACTTTATTTCCTTGATATGTTTACCCCCGCATTCCACCTTAGAATTTGATAACTTTTGAGGGCAATAATGTGATCAGTAAATATAACTCTCCTTCATGGAATTATAGATTCTAAGTTTTCTACAATAAGCATTTCTTTTGTAATCTGAAAACATATATTTTTGAAAAACAGTATAAATATTTTACCTGTATAATATTTAATTTAATATACCTAGGAAGATGGGCAGGTAAAATCTAATAAATTAGTCATTGACTTTTTTCACTGATTTGGTATTTAA